GGACGTTTGTTTGCCATTGCAATAGGACGCTTGTTTGACATTACAACTGGACGTTTGTCGGATGTTACAACTGGACGTTTGTTTGGCATTGCAATAGGACGCTTGTTTGACATTACAACTGGACGCTTGTCGGATGTTACAATTGGACGTTTGTTTGACACTACAACTGGACGTTTGTCGGATGTTACAACTGGACGTTTGTTTGACATTGCAATAGGACGCTTGTTTGACATTACAACTGGACGTTTGTCGGATGTTACAATTGGACTTTTGTTTGACATTGCAATAGAACGTTTGTTTGACATTACAACTGGACGTTTGTCGGATGTTACAATTGGACGTTTGTTTGGCATTGCAATAGGACGCTTGTTTGACATTACAACAGGACGTTTGTCGTATGTTACAATTGGACGTTTGTCTGGCATTACAATAGGACGTTTGTTTGACATTGCAACTGGAAGTTTGTCTGACATTGCAATAAGACGTTTGTTTGACGTTACAATTGGACGTTTGTTTGACATTACAACTGGACGTTTGTCTGACATTGCAATAGGACGTTTGTTTGACATTACAACTGGACGTTTGTCGGATGTTACAATTGGACGTTTGTTTGACATTGCAATAGGACGCTTGTTTGACATTACAACTGGACGCTTGTCGAATGTTACAATTGGACTTTTGTTTGACATTACAACTGGACGTTTGTCGGATGTTACAATTGAACGTTTGTTTGACATTGCAATAGGACGCTTGTTTGACATTACAACTTGACGTTTGTCGGATGTTACAATTGGACGTTTGTTTGACATTGCAATAGGACGTTTGTTTGACATTACAACTGGACGTTTGTCGGATGTTACAATTGGACGCTTGTTTGACATTGCAATAGGACGTTTGTTTGACATTACAACTGGACGTTTGTCTGACATTGCAATAGGACGTTTGTTTGACATTACAACTGGACGTTTGTCGGATGTTACAATTGGACGTTTGTTTGACATTGCAATAGGACGCTTGTTTGACATTACAACTGGACGTTTGTCGAATGTTACAATTGGACGTTTGTTTGACATTACAACTGGACGTTTGTCGGATGTTACAATTGGACGTTTGTTTGACATTGCAATAGGACGCTTGTTTGACATTACAACAGGACGTTTGTCGGATGTTACAATTGGACGTTTGTTTGACATTGCAATAGGACGCTTGTTTGACATTACAACAGGACGTTTGTCGTATGTTACAATTGGACGTTTGTCTGGCATTGCAATAGGACGTTTGTTTGACATTACAACTGGACGTTTGTCGGATGTTACAATTGGACGTTTGTTTGACATTGCAATAGGACGCTTGTTTGACATTACAACAGGACGTTTGTCGGATGTTACAACTGGACGTTTGTTTGCCATTGCAATAGGACGCTTGTTTGACGTTACAACAGGACGTTTGTCGGATGTTACAATAGGACGTTTGTTTGCCATTGCAATAGGACGCTTGTTTGACATTACAACTGGACGTTTGTCGGATGTTGCAATAGGACGCTTGTTTGACATTACAATTGGACGTTTGTCTGACATTACGCTTGGACGTTTGTCGGACATTACAATTGGACGTTTGTCGGATGTTACAATTGTACGTTTGTCGGACATTATAATAGTACGTTTGTCTGAGTTTACAATAGGGCGTTTGTCTGACTTTACAATTGGACAGTCATCTCAGATTGATTTTGAAGTATTTTAAAGGGGCACTGATCTCTGGCAGTTCTGCGGAGTGTGTGGTCTGTTTCGCAGTCAGTGAACCATATATTTAGTAGTCCGACCAGCCCTTTCTGCTATGCAAAATGACACAACTCAACTGATTATTCCCCTCGTCATTTGCGTATTACATAGCATTTACAGTCGCAGATTCAAACCTATTTCATATGCCAGTCATATGTTGAAAATATACCCCAGGCACGAGAAATGGCAAGCTGTGTGGTTCTACCACAAGTTATACCCGTTATAAATCCATTAAGTGAATTGACCCGTGAAGATCCTGGGTAGAATAGGTCTTCAGCAACCCATGTGCTTGCCATAAAAGGCGACTATGCTTGTCGTAAGAGGCGACTAACGGGATCGGGTGGTCAGTTTCGCTGACTTGGTTGACACATGTCATCGGTTCCCAATTGCGCAGATCGATGCTCATGTCGTTGATCACTGGATGTCTGGTCCAGACTCGATTATTTACAGACCGCCGCCATATAGCTGGGATATTGCTGAGTGCGGCGTAAAACTAAACTCACTCACTCACTCACTCACTCATTAAGTGAATTGTATGAAGCGAATGATAACAAGCACAGAGGTGTCGGGAAACATGGAATACAACAAGGTGGTAATATTCGTACTATATCTATTTAGTAGTCTAACAGATAACAGTCGTTGCTGCTTTTAGTATGTGAACTTCATTCTTGCAGAATAAAAAGTCCCAGTATTTGCTGAAAGTCAAAGTTTTGTTTTGCTTGTTGTTTAACGCTGCACTCAGCAATATTCCAGCTGTATGGTGGCGGTCTGTAAATACTCGAGTCTAGACCAGACAATCCAGTGATCAAAAGCATGAGCATCGATCTACGCTATTGGGATACGGTGACATGTGTCAACCAAGTCCGCGAACAAGCATGGGTTGTTGAAGACCAAATATAACCCGGATCTTCACAGGTGTATACTAAAATACAGAAATGCACATACAAATTTACGTTAGTAATGTGTTTTTATTACGGCCAGCCCAAATAGAGTTCTACAAGGGGTGTACAGAAACTAGTATCACTCATAAGCCACTAAATATTTCTTCATGCAACTTTAGCCATACGCTAATTGATGCATTGTGCTACTGAGGAATATTTCTTGTGTTTCCAAGACAACGAGTTGGACGTCAAACAATTTCAGAACATAACACGCACAATTTTTCTCAATTGGTTTTTGTGCATCAAGCAATTACCTAACCGGTACGTTTTGCTACTGAGGCGGTATATTTTCACTTTGCGTTAACAGGTTGGACTAAGTTCCAAATGAGCTCTTCGTTGTACACCTATTGTCAGCCTGGTTCCCTGGGTCTGTTGCGCCTGCGCTACGCTCCGAGCGTAGCGCAGGCGCAACAGACCCAGGGAACCAGGCTGACCTATTGTCATCTGTCAACATGTCAGCTGTACTCATAAACCTGTTTGTCATTAGAGACATGAAATTGTTTGATAGTATACAATTACCCTTCAACAGTTTCAGGGAGTTTCATTTACGACCTCAAATAAATCAAATGTTTACATTTAATACTGAAGGTCTATCGCCGCGGCGCGATTAAATTTCAAGATCTGAAACACAGTAATAGGAAACAAATCAACCTCTGTCATCTTATCATCCACCCCATCCGAAATCCAAAAATGCTACCCCTGTGAAGATACATTTTAAAAAATGTAAACTATGATCATCAAGCTACATGTATTTCCAAATGATGGCACCTGATATATTTCACCGTTCATTTTGTATGTTTGCTTTGGCCGGAGAAATGAATTAACAAGCGCGCATTGTGACAGCCAAATATTCACATATCTCGAGTTACCAGTAAGCGTTCAGAAATGCGTGTAGATATTGCATCAAATCTGAAATTACAGACGGTAGCCCAGTCTCTTGTCACGCTCACTTGCCTTAACGGCAACTGTAAGGCAGCCAGGTAGAACCCAGACCGTGTGCCGCTTTAAATTATTTTTTAATAGTAAAATTAAATATTGAAGATATCTCAATATAGTTTTAGATATCCCAACACAATAGGAGATAAATGAAACTAAATAGTGAGATATCTGGAACCGAGTTCGATATTTGAAGTTTGATAGGTTCATAGGTCTATAAACTCATTTTTATATTAAATAAATTATTTTTAAATAAAAGCACCAACAATATGAACTTCACAGACTGCTTATTTCATCAGTAACATGAATGAATGGTGACAATGATACGGACTCTGTGACATCGTTCAACGTCGTACTGCATCAACAGCACCATGCAGGCTATTATCAGGAACCAGTGGCAGTAGACCGGCTCTATATTTGAAGGTTCATGATCGTTTATGGCAGAAATACGAAATTTTTAAAAAAATGGAAAGAAACAAGAAGCCAAAGTCAAGTCAAAGTCCAGAGCCATAAGATCACTTTCAGTTGATATGATGGGAAAGGTAATGTGATATTTTATAGCATATTATATTTTTAAAATGCAGAAACTTGAGTTTGTTCCAGCGTTCCAGCTTCTGGGAACACGTAACATTCTGATATTTGTTCATAGCATTGTCACTTCAAGCACCCAATTGCGCAGATCGATGCTAATGATGTTGACCACTTACGATGGAGATTATCGAGGATGACTCCGATCAAACGTGATGATTCAAGGGAATTCCCCTGGTTTTCAACGAGGTACGTTCTTACTGCTCCAAAACTACCATTGCGCTGGCTAATTAATTAGCCCGGCTAGAATTTTGTTTCCCTTTAGTCACTGGGCTGCCCTATCCCCGATCGATCATTTACAAACCCTTGTGAAATAGCTTGAACTTCACACGGAACATTCATTTATTCACACGGTTTCAAGAAAACAAACCCAAGAAAATATAGCCCACCCATAATAACTTAACGGTATCCATGTGTGACGTAATGAACAATGGATGGCGTAATACTGCAGTAGCATAAACAGTAGCGGAGTATGATGTCACATTGATTCAACAGAACAATGATATCTGAGATTACACAATGGTATCTGAGCGTCACCTAATATCAACCCGCACATACTCCAGCACAGCGATAAGTTATCACAGGACACTGGATAGGAGAGTGTAGCCGGCAATATTAAATTTCCGTACTATACTTTCATTACGGTGTCGCAGCCAAAGCTGATAATGAACGGAAGCTATGCACTCACGTTTTTTTCAGGAATTTCCTGGCTATTACACTATCTATTCGTGACCTTTGAGTTGTCCTGATTTTAGTTACTTCCGGTTACTGTATTCAGTAAATATTGACACTATATCACAGTAGCGAAGCTGCATGTAAGTTAATTTTGTTGTTCTTTTGTCAGTGATTCTGGTTAAAGTACAAGTTTACATTAATATTTAACCAACGTTATAAGCATGTATCGTCTTCGTGACAGATATTTTGCATGGTTCATTTCGTAATCTACACATTTGACGTGTTGTTCATAATTCGATCAGTTTCCGAGCGAGAACCTGTGGCTGTGCACAAGTGACAGGTCACGTGGGCATGGTTTGACTTGAAGTGTGCATCCTCATTACCGGTTGTAATATTCAACAGCTTCACTTAGTATTCATTAATGTCTTAAATATTACAGTGATACTCAATATTTTTAGATTGACTAGACATAACATTGTGATTAATTGAGTTAATTGTCACGATGATGACATTTACAAATGCTGAAGTATCACACATTTTGAAGTGTCTCATTTTCTTGTATTTTATGCATTCATGCATTGTAATTTTGTTGCTTTACTATGGTATTGAACTCACTGAATCATCTCAGTTAGGGGCAAAGTGATATATATTAGGCAGTATTATGTATGTGTATTCAGATTTGAAAGTATTCATTGTTGAGTGTTACAGTGTATTAAATGCTCATGAACATTATTAGATTTGCGTTTTTAAAAAAATTCATTCAACAGGTCCCTAACCCTAACCCTAAACCCTCAGCCCTAACTCCTCAGCCCTAACTCTAACCCTAATCCCTTGAAATAATCCTAATAAATAGAATGCATTGACCCAACCACCGGACATGTACCTACTATATTGCATTAGGTCCCCAACCCCAACCCTAACCCTAAACCCTAGACCCTAGCCCTAACCCTAACCCTAACCCTAACCCCTTGAATTAATCCTAATAAATAGAATGCATTGACCGAACGGGCACAAACATGACTGACGTGTCTAGTGTAATGCATTATTACTGCTTCAAAAAATAAAATACTAATAAACCACTTTTTTATGAAATGGTGCAAATTACTGAATGACAAAAATATATATGTAAATTTAAAAAATACAAAATACACAAAACATAACACCTCAGCATCGTTGGGCTTATGCAATGACATAGCTCGTAGAGATGAAACACCAGTGAGCGGAGCTTATACGCACTCGTGCTAGACAACCGTGTTGCCATGCAGGGGTCATAGGGCATTGTTTCGAGAACGTGCTTTCGAACAAAATCACATTACATTACGTAAAAGGGTATTATGACGTATTTTTAAAGTTTGTGGTGCTGTATTCTAAAGGTAAGCCGTAAATTTTTATGCGTATAGGATGCAGGAATTCGCATCCTGTAAATCCCTGGGGGTTGGGATAGCCTTGCTTGTAACGCACAAATCCTGAGGTTTAATTCCCCAGTGTGTGATAATTTTGCTGGAATTTTGGGAATGCAACAAACATTGCTATTTTCCCTGAGACATCAACTGAATATGTAATGATGATAATTATGTCATCAATATCGTTTAGAATTTCAGTTTAGATTAGGTCGACAACAGTGTTTTCTATTTTTTCCAACAATGAACATGCATATTTTGTTAGGATGGTTATAATTGGTGCTCATGATATTAATCACTGGTTTGTCCAGTCAAGGTCATATTACATACGAACTGCTGTTGGGGTCATACAGTTGGAATATGCTTGAGTGTGATGTTGAACAAAGCCCCCCAAAAGCAGTGTAAACCATACATAGTTCATCAAGTCTGAGACTGACACAGAAATGACATATACAAGGTGACATAGATATAATTTTCAGGCCCATCTAGTCATATTTGTTTCCAATCATTTTGACAGCGTTTTGTGTAATTAACACATTCTACTAATTCCATGGGTTGTCTAGTCCAGAATCAATTATTTACAGACCGCCACCATATAGCGGGAATATTGCTGAGTGCGGCGTAAAAGTAAACTCACTCACTCACTAATTCCACTATGAAGGAAATATGTGTATGATCCATCAGGTAGGTTTTGTAAAAGAGGATTAGCATGTGTTAAGTATTTAGTCATCTTTACCATGTTTACTGATAATTTTGATTATTGGTGATACATGATCATCCATGTATTTAATCATCTTCAGCCATATTCATTTTAACATAAAAGAGACAAACAAATATAATAAAATAATCATGTGACAACATTGAATTCTTAATTGAAAACATTTATTTACATTGCTTGTTTTCAGACATGATTTAAGTCTGTTACCAAGGTGACCTCTTTTAACTTATAATGAGCATTTATCAAACTTTTACATTTTCAGATGGCAGTGATGATGATGGTGATGATGATCCAGTAGACCATCTGCATGTTTGATTTATGTAATTTAAATGTGTTGGCGTGACCAGCATAGTCAGTTGTGTAATAATGTCTATCTATTTTCAGATTTAACATATATATTCATATTTTTAAATATTTCAGATACGGTTCACAATGCAATACATTGGTTTAGAGCTCCTGTATTGCAGTACATATGATAACATTGCAAGTTATATTGATGTAAAAACAGGGTGGTGGGGTAGCCTAGTGATTAAAGCATCCGCTCGTCAAGCCGAAGACACGAGTTCGATTCCCCACATGGGTACAGTGTGAAGCCCATTTCAGGTGTCCCCTGCTGTGATATTGCTGGAATATTGCTAAAAACAGAATAAAACCATAACCAGTCATTCACTTACTGCATCCCACTGTTGTAAATTAATTGAGGCTGAGCTGGTATAAATCTTGTAAATGTAAACCCTTGATAGAAATTGGGACAAAGTGTATTCTATAATATTCTATAATGCCGAATCGTGATGCTGTATTAATTGATCTTGGTAATACTTCAATACTGTAATGTTGCCTGGATGTGCGCTCTATCTGCAGCAGCTGTCGACAGCTGTGAGAGTGATTGGCATTGTGTGTCTGTTTCAATATGTGGGGCTTTTGAGTGTCAATGATCATGATGATATTCTCAACACAGCATGACAATAACACAATGAGGGCGTGGCACTCTCTCACAGCCATTAATTTGCTGGTGTCAGAGATGAGAATTCTGTAATGAATAGCTGATGCAGTATTTTTCTTGCTGATGCAACAATATTGATGTTAGATTCATCCTGTGTTAATAAATACCAATATACCTAGGTTTTACTTAGCTTTGAGAAATTGACACTCACTCACACTCACACACTCACTCACCCGCCCACCCACCCACTCACTTACAGTATTGACATCTCTCTGGCTTATGACAGTATTGACATCACACTGGCAGTATTGACATCACACTGGCAGTATTGACATCACACTGACAGTATTGACATCACACTGACAGTATTGACATCACACTGGCAGTATTGACATCACACTGGCAGTATTGACATCACACTGACAGTATTGAAATCACACTGGCAGTATTGACATCACACTGGCAGTATTGAAATCACACTGACAGTATTGACATCACACTGGCAGTATTGACATCACACTGGCAGTATTGACATCACACTGGCGGTATCAGTATTGACATAACACTGGCAGTATTGACATTGACATCACACTGACGGTATTGAAATAACACTGGCAGTATTGAAATCACACTGACAGTATTTACATCACACTGACAGTATTGAAATCACACTGGCAGTATTGACATCATACTGACAGTATTGATATCTCACTGACAGTATTGACATCACACTGCAGTATTGACATCATACTGACAGTATTGATATCACACTGACAGTATTGACATCACACCAACAGTATTGACATCACAATGGCAGTATTGACATCACACTGAATTGGCAGTATTGACATCACAATGGCATGACATCACACTGGTATTGACATCACAATGGCAGTATTGACATCACACTGACGGTGTTGACATCACACTGGCAGTATCGATCTTACACAGTTAGGACTGAGTTCATAATGGCAGTAACTAGTTATTTTGACTTCACTATGGCAGTATGAACCTCAGACTAACAGTATGATTTGTGAATATAATAATATGAACATAAATTTGTATATCTGATTGGGAAAAATATTTTACTTACCTGAGATGGCTTTTCATGTCAGTCAAGCTATGCTGCAAATCAGTCACGCTATTGGTCTGTGTGAAATTCTATCTGGACCTTTTCATCACCAGTCATTGTAAGTAACCGGTGGCAGATGTGGCAGCCATAGTAAATGGGCATGGTGACATTGGTGTACATCGGCACAGTGTCCCTGGGCGGTCATACTGGTGCATGGCCCTGTTAATATACTGCTGAAGTTTGCTCAAGTACCACTGTCATGTCGGTATGGAGAAAACTACCTTAACTGGTACTACGGTGGAAAGCCCATATATATGTAGGTATTTTTCAGGAATACTAACAGTATCCTGGTCATTACTAGCAGTTGTATGGAAGTCAGTACTATAGTACTGACAGTTTTATAGAAGTCAGTACTCGCACTAACAGTTCTGTGGAAGTCAGTACTGGCACTAACAGTTCTGTGGAAGTCAGTACTGGCACTAACAGTTCTGTGGAAGTCAGTACTGGCACTAACAGTTCTGTGGAAGTCAGTACTCGCACTAACAGTTCTGTGGAAGTCAGTACTGGCACTAACAGTTCTGTGGAAGTCAGTACTCGCACTAACAGTTCTGTGGAAGTCAGTACTGGCACTAACAGTTCTGTGGAAGTCAGTACTTGGTACTAACAGTTCTGTGGAAGTCAGTACTCGCACTAACAGTTCTGTGGAAGTCAGTACTGGCACTAACAGTTCTGTGGAAGTCAGTACTGGCACTAACAGTTCTGTGGAAGTCAGTACTGGCACTAACAGTTCTGTGGAAGTCAGCACTAACAGTACTGTAACAGTTCTGTGGAAGGAAGTCAGTACACTAACAGTTCTGTGGAAGTCAGTACTGGCACTAACAGTTCTGTGGAAGTCAGTACTGGCACTAACAGTTCTGTGGAAGTCAGTACTGGCACTAACAGTTCTGTGGAAGTCAGTACTGGCACTAACAGTTCTGTGGAAGTCAGTACTGGCACTAACAGTTCTGTGGAAGTCAGTACTATAGCACTAACAGTTCTGTGGAAGTCAGTACTGGCACTAACAGTTCTGTGGAAGTCAGTACTGGCACTAACAGTTCTGTGGAAGTCAGTACTGGCACTAACAGTTCTGTGGGTCAGTACTGGCACTAACAGTCTGTGGAAGTCAGTACTGGCACTAACAGTTCTGTGGAAGTCAGTACTGGCACTAACAGTTCTGTGGAAGTCAGTACTCGCACTAACAGTTCTGTGGAAGTCAGTACTGGTACTAACAGTTCTGTGGAAGTCAGTACTGGCACTAACAGTTCTGTGGAAGTCAGTACTGGCACTAACAGTTCTGTGGAAGTCAGTACTGGCACTAACAGTTCTGTGGAAGTCAGTACTGGCACTAACAGTTCTGTGGAAGTCAGTACTGGCACTAACAGTTCTGTGGAAGTCAGTACTGGCACTAACAGTTCTGTGGAAGTCAGTACTGGCACTAACAGTTCTGTGGAAGTCAGTACTGGCACTAACAGTTCTGTGGAAGTCAGTACTGGCACTAACAGTTCTGTGGTAGTCAGTACTGGCACTAACAGTTCTGTGGAAGTCAGTACTGGCACTAACAGTTCTGTGGAAGTCAGTACTGGCACTAACAGTTCTGTGGAAGTCAGTACTGGCACTAACAGTTCTGTGGAAGTCAGTACTGGCACTAACAGTTCTGTGGAAGTCAGTACTGGCACTAACAGTTCTGTGGAAGTCAGTACTGGCACTAACAGTTCTGTGGTAGTCAGTAGTCTCACTGGCAACAGTTCTGTGGAAGTCAGTACTGGCACTAACAGTTCTGTGGAAGTCAGTACTGGCACTAACAGTTCTGTGGAAGTCAGTACTGGCACTAACAGTTCTGTGGAAGTCAGTACTGGCACTAACAGTTCTGTGGTAGTCAGTACTGGCACTAACAGTTCTGTGGAAGTCAGTACTGGTACTAACAGTTCTGTGGTAGTCAGTACTCTCACTAACAGTTCTGTGGAAGTCAGTACTCGCGACTAACGCAGTCTAACAGTTCTGTGGAAGTCAGTACTCGCACTAACAGTTCTGTGGAAGTCAGTACTGGCACTAACAGTTCTGTGGAAGTCAGTACTGGCACTAACAGTTCTGTGGAAGTCAGTACTGGCACTAACAGTTCTGTGGAAGTCAGTACTCGCACTAACAGTTCTGTGGAAGTCAGTACTGGCACTAACAGTTCTGTGGAAGTCAGTACTCGCACTAACAGTTCTGTGGAAGTCAGTACTATAGCACTAACAGTTCTGTGGAAGTCAGTACTGGCACTAACAGTTCTGTGGTAGTCAGTACTCGCACTAACAGTTCTGTGGAAGTCAGTACTATAGTACTGACAGTTTTATAGAAGTCAGTACTGGCACTAACAGTTCTGTGGAAGTCAGTACTCGCACTAACAGTTCTGTGGAAGTCAGTACTCGCACTAACAGTTCTGTGGAAGTCAGTACTCGCACTAACAGTTCTGTGGAAGTCAGTACTGGCACTAACAGTTCTGTGGAAGTCAGTACTCGCACTAACAGTTCTGTGGAAGTCAGTACTGGTAGTAACAGTTCTGTGGAAGTCAGTACTAGTACAACTAGATCTTTGAATGTTCGGTACAGGTACTTGCAGTTCTATGGAAGCCTGTATCAGTACTCTGGCTTTAGGTGGCCAATGAAGTGGGGCGGTGAGGTAGCCTAGCCTAGTGGTGAAAGCGTTCGTCACATGGTTCAATTCCCCACATGGGTACAATGTACGAAGCCTGTCAATATTGCTGGATATTGCTGGGGGTGCCGTAAAACTAAACTCACACTCACTCACACACACCTTGACAGAAGCTTGTATTTTCCCTGTTGGTTAGCATTGCATACAACCTCCGGTGACCAAAATAATGGTATATGTCTTACTGTGAATCATGCAGGAATCAGAAGCACTGTACGCACCACTTGATCCATAGTAACTTTGTCAATCTATGGTTGCTTGTGGCCTGGTTTAAGTTGATCTTAACTAATCTTCCTGAAAATAATTCATTTAAATATTGAACTTGTGTTGTTGTTTACTCAATTACTTTTGATAATTAACTTGTCAATATTGTCTACAATATTAAAAAGCAAGCTATTGCGATGTAGAATTTTAACTTGTTTGGTATCCAAGGTTAGAAAAGGTTCTACTGACCAATGCTTGCAGTTCAGAGTGCCGTAATGGATTTGATGGTCACCGTGACTTGATTCTGTTCATTGAGTGTTATCATACCTTAGTTGCTTATGACATGACTTAGAATATTGGCCTTCTCCTACTGTTAATTTGACTTGGGTGTTGTTAAACCAACTGTGTAAGACAAGAATATAGCAGAACAACCAGCAGGATAAGCAATTACCTGCGTGGAAACATGAATGTAGTCCCATCATTCTAAATAATAATAATAATAATGCTAATTTTTGCGCCTAGAATCAAACACGATGTTTCTCTCATAGTATGAGACCCAGGTCACAAATGTTGGTGTCTCCACCGGGATTCGAACAGGGGCCTTTGGCGTGAGAGGCCAGCAAGCTAACCACTACACCACCGTGCTCCAGGGATCATCCCGTTACCATGGCTACCATTAGTAAATAGGACAGCTGAATGTAGTCTCCTTATTACCTATCTGGAAATACAAGTCATGCCAAATACTAATAAAAATGGTGATCTACACAAAGTTGATGTTTTCTCTTATTTCCTCCAGAACTGTCTGCGATCTATTTATATCTTATCCCCGTGTTTCCGCCTTAATCTGCTCATGTTTAAGCCTTGATCTGCTCATGTTTCAGCCTTGATCTGCTCATATTTCAGCCTTGATCTGCTCATGTTTCAGCCTTGATCTGCTCATATTTCAGCCTTGATCTGCTCATATTTCAGCCTTGATCTGCTCATGTTTCAGCCTTGATCTGCTCATGTTTCAGCCTTGATCTGCTCATGATTTCAGCCTTGATCTGCTCATATTTCAGCCTTGATCTGCTTCAGCCCCTATTTCAGCCATCTTCTTGATGTTTCAGCCTTGATCTGCTCATATTTCAGCCTTGATCTGTTTCAGCCTTGATCTTCTCTGCACATATTTCAGCCTTGATCTGTTTCAGCCTTGATCTGCTCATATTTCTTGATGTTTCAGCCTTGATCTGCTCATGTTTCAGCCTTGATCTGCCTCATATTTCAGCCTTGATCTTCAGCCTTGATCTGCTCATGTTTCAGCCTTGATCTGCTCATGATCTGCTCATGTTTCAGCCTTGATCTCAGCCTTGATCTGCTCATGTTTCAGCCTTGATCTGATCTTCTGCTCATGTTTCAGCCTTGATCTGCTCATATTTCAGCCTTGATCTGCTCATATTTCAGCCTTGATCTGCTCATGTTTCAGCCTTGATCTGCTCATGTTTCAGCCTTGATCTGCTCATGTTTCAGCCTTGATCTGCTCATGTTTCAGCCTTGATCTTCTCATATTTCAGCCTTGATCTGCTCATATTTCAGCCTTGATCTGCTCATATTTCAGCCTTGATCTGCTCATGTTTCAGCCTTGATCTGCTCATATTTCTCTTGATGTTTCAGCCTTGATCTGATCTGCTCATGTTTCAGCCTTGATCTGCTCATGTTTCAGCCTTGATCAGCCTGATCTGCTCATGTTTCAGCCTTGATCTGCTCATGTTTCAGCCTTGATCTGCTCATTTCAGCCTTGATCTGCTCATGTTTCAGCCTTGATCTGCTCATATTTCAGCCTTGATCTTCAACATATTTTCAGCCTTGTTTCAGCCTTGATCTGCTCATGTTTCAGCCTTGATCTGCTCATATTTCAGCCTTGATCTCTCTTGTTTCAGCCTTGATCTGCTCAGTTTCAGCCTTGATCTGCACATGTTTCTCTTGTTTCAGCCTTGAGCCTTGATCTGCTCATGTTTCAGCCTTGATCTCATATTTCAGCCTTGATCTGCTCATGTTTCAGCCTTGATCTGCTCATATTTCTTGATCTGCTCATATCAGCCTTGATTCAGCCTTGATCTGCCTTGATGCTCATATTTCAGCCTTGATCTGCTCATATTTCAGCCTTGATCAGCCTGATCTGCTCATGTTTCAGCCTTGATCAGCCTTGATCTCTTGATTTCAGCCTTGATCTGCACTCATGTTTCAGCCTTGATCTGCTCATGTTTCAGCCTTGATCTGCTCATGTTTCAGCCTTGATCTGCTCATGTTTCAGCCTTGATCTGCTCATATTTCAGCCTTGATCTGCTCATGTTTCAGCCTTGATCTGCTCATGTTTCAGCCTTGATCTGCTCATATTTCAGCCATGATCTGCTCATATTTCAGCTTTATCTTTTCATGTTTCAGCCTTGATCTGTTCATGTTTCAGCTAGTTGTGTTCTGATTAATTGAAATAATCGAAGATTGGTTGCAGTGACCAAACGACCAAGCAATCGATCACGTTTTCTCATAATCGAACACAAACGATTTTGTCACTACTGTTTTAGTGTTTGAAACACTTGACGATGGAACATATCTCAGAAGTTGTCAGGGCCTGAAAACATGTTTAATTCTTTAATAGAAAACTCACTTCACTTACTGAAAAGTCATGACTTCATATTTCTTTAAGACTCCAGGAAGTCTATGTTCATGACATATTAGTCATCACTTTAAAGTAGCAGGTTGCATAATTTTACATTGGATGTGAAGTTTGCAAATGAAATTTGAGCAGTTTCTATATAAACAAAACAGAGAACCACGTTATACTTATCTGCAATAACAACTTGAATAGGAAAATCTGCAAAATGACGCTAACCAATTTTTTTATGCTTGCTCTCTGGTAATGAACTAGTCATCAATTGTGAGATTTCAACCAATTCCCAACACTAGTTTCAGCCTTGATGTGTTCATGCTTCAGCCTTGATGTGCTCATGCTTCAGCCTCAATCTGTTTCAGTAAGGATCTGCTTATGTTTCATCAATGATCTGCTTGTGTTTCAGCGATGATGTCTGGGGAGGGAGGAGGGGACGCCCATGTGGCAGAAGAGGACACACAAAGCAGCTACCACAGTCAGGAACAGACCGTCTTCCTAATTGACAACATGCAGAAGCTCCGTCTCGACTCCAGCTACACAGACATTGTGATCAGCATCGAAGGTTGCAAGTTTCCCTGCCACAAGATCGTCCTTGCTGCGGGGTCCCCTTACTTCAAGTCCATGTTCTCATCCGGGATGGAGGAGAGCTTCAAGGATGTCATTGACATCAAACAGATAGATGCATCCGTGTTTGAGCACGTGCTTCACTTCATCTACACAGGTAATGTGAGCATGACGGGCACAATTGTCCAGGAACTGTTCAGTCAGGCACATCTGTTTCAGGTTCTGACGCTAGTGGAGCTCTGTGTCCAATATTTCCAGCAGAACATGAACGATGGGAATTGTCTCGCTGCAATGACCCTGGCTGACATCCATGCTCACAAGCCCCTTTACAACTTTGCAAAGAAGTTTGCCTGTGAACATTTCCCAGCAGTGTTTTTGGATGATGATTTTTCCAAATTGTCTATGGACTGTATTGTAGATCTGTTGCGAGACAGACGTCTGAATTGTACGTCTGAGGAGCAGGTGTTTGACGCTGCAGTCAAGTGGTTGGAATCTGATTCAGAGAGGAGACTCAGCTACAAGTTCCAGGTCCTTGAATGTGTAAAGTTTCCACTGATCAGCCAGAGTTACTTGATGGACGTTGTTGTGAAGACTGGTCATCTGTCAGACGAAGACAAGGGCAAGGAGTTGCTGGAGGAGGCTGTGCTGTATCATACTGTCCCTTCACGTCGTCATATGCTCCCGTCATACCAGATCACACCTCGGTATTCCTTTCAATACTTTGAGAGTGCCATCCTACTTGGCGGACGGCTGATGGATGGCTTAAGTAATGATGTTGAATATTACAGGTCAGACACAAAAGAATTCTGTTCGCTTAAAGCTCTTCCCTTCAAAAAGAGAAATGAATTTGCTGCTTGTGCTATAGGGGATGAAATTTATGTGTCAGGTGGTCTGCGAAGCTCGGGAATTCTGGAAGTATGATCCAACTTTTGAAACATGGCTACGAGGTGCCAACATGCTGCATGCTCGGAGGCGCCATGCGATGTCTGCAGTGGATGACCTCATCTGTGTTCTGGGAGGATTTGATGAGGACAGCGTTTTGGCGTCTATCGAGATGTGGGACAAGAAATCAAACAAATGGGAGGAAGGAGGTCACCTGATCACAGGTGTAGAAAACATGGGCTTCGTTATCGTACGGCAAGAAGATTTATTTATTTGGCGGCAAGAACAATGAGGAGATGGTTACCAACACAGTCCAGTGTTACGACACTGTCACTAAGACGTGCAGTGTCCTTCAGAAAGGCCTGCCAGCTAACGACATGTGTCTCACAGCCTGTTTGCTTAACAACCAGATCTATGTGGTTGGATTGGAAGGTGTGTTCCGATACTCCCCTGCGTCAGACACCTGGGACATTCTCCCAGACATGAGTTACCCCAGAGACTTCGTCAGTCTGTGTGTCCTGGATGAAAAGCTTTATGCCTTTGGAGGTCGGCGTCGAGGCGCGAAAGACAACTTGTATTCGGATGTGATTGAGTATTATGACCCTGAGAGCACCCGATGGTTTACTTCTGGGAATATCCCTGTGCCTATGTATTCTTATGGTTGTGTCAGGGTATTCCTGTGTCAACAGAGGCGGGAGCGTACCCAGAGCCAGACTGAGAGGGTGCCGCACCCACCATGTTAGGGGTGTCACAGCATCCAACCCTGTAGATATGTTTCTGCAAACAACCTTGTTAGGTGTGAGTCTTGGCATCCAGCCAACTAGATATATGTCTCAATACTTCTCATTTGTTATCGATCTTATTTCCTACAATTGTACAGAAACGTGGTTTGGTTGATATTATCTCAACAGAAAACTCAGAGTTGTCAGTCAATGAATGTTATGAATATCCTTATGGAAATTCTCCGGGACTCACAGTTCGATTAACATTCAGTAACACCTGAATCCATTCCTCTACTTCTCGCAATTTCTGATTATTAACCCTTGATTTTCAGTAACCAATGAATCATTTGTCAAGATAAGACTATTAGAAGCGTGTAAACTAGTTAACATGAAGACCTCGCTTCTATCAAAACAACCTTTTAGATGTTTGTATCATTTGGCTGCCATGTTGTTGAGATAACCAACCCAACACTGAGGCTGATTTCTGTTCGGACTGTTAGTCTGAGTAGTGTACGAATTTGCAAAACTGAAATCAAGGGGTAATGTGGGGGGGGTCATTCTCTTCCCACAGAGGTTACTTGTCATATCTTCCTATGAACCTCTGTTCTAATACGGCCATATTTCCCGGTTCTTGTAAAATTCCCTTGCGGCAAAAAACTGCAACACAAATGATCTCCCTTCTCTCTATCCAGTCAGAACACGTGCTACATCAACTTAGATCCAGGGGCGGTGGGGTAGCCTAGTGGTTAAAGCGTTGGCTCGTCACGCCGAAGACCCGGGTTCGTTTCCCCACATGGGTACAATGTGTGAAGACCATTTCTGGTGCCCCCCGCCGTAATATTGCTGGAATATTGCTAAAAGCGGCGTAAAACTAAACTCAGTCAGTCAGTCAGTCAGACTTAGATCCAACTTGACTAATGCAAACAAAATGGGGCCACAAACATCTTACTTCTCTGCCGGGGACTTGTGGCACACAAGACATTTGATGGCAAGATTGTTCGTTGTCACCGAGGGCGACAGAGACGCCATTGATCTGCCATTACATGACTGAGTTCTGTTTAGAAGAAATGTTTGCGCATCGCGCAGGAGAAGAGGTTCTAGTTTTCCCGAAGCATACAGAAATTACCGAGTCTGGGCGAATGATCACGTTTGAAACAACGTCGCTGATTCCACAACTAAATCTGATTGCAACCAATCACGAATCCTGAACACTCACACCATGAAAGGGCTGTATTAGAACAGAGGTTCGTAGGAAGATATGACAAGTAACCTCTGTGGAAAGACTGACTGACTGACTGAGGTTGGTTTTACGCCGCTTTTAGCAATATTCCAGCAACATCACGTCGGGGGACACCAGAAATGGGCTTCACATCTGTGGAAAGAGAATAGTGGGGGTGGTAATTTCAGCTGGCAGGAACCATGGGAATGGAAGGAGGGGGTTAGTGTAGAGTCCAGAGTGCCATTTTACAAAACAACCTAAGCGTTAAGACTATGTTAAGGTATGTGAGTTACGGTCACCTTAGAGCTAAGACCGCTTTGTACAACAGCATCCTTGCTGTATCACAATGTTGAAATTAATTATTAGAGAACACGAACACCATTTTTATGAAATTGATGTGTAGCTGTACAGATAACTTTTGTTCAAAACCCTTCATGTGATAGATGCACCACTGTATTTAATTTAATGATATTATTAATCACTTTACTGTTTTTTAGTGCATGCTATTGTCAGCAGTCATCACAGCATTTCAGTGGAACGTGTTACCATGGTTACTATTGTGTTAGATTTATTGATATCATGATTGCTTGAATGTATTATAGTGTCTGCTGTTGTCAGCAGTCATCAGACCATTTGAGTGGAATATGTTACCATGGTTACTTTAACCTCCATTATCATGGTTATTCCACTGCTCAGATTAAGGCTATGTGGAAACGGTCACTGCACAGTCCATCTCACTATAAAGAAGAACTGAGTCTGACCAAATGAAGATAGAATTCTTTTGTTATGTACAGCTGCCCTGTTGTGTGAGGTAAGACAATTTGTATGCAGAGTTACCTCCCTTGGGCATGCCAGAAACCTGTAAATCATGGTTCAAATCCCAGTTCTCTCTGATTACATTTCCAGGATTGTCAGGAACATGATTCTACTTGTGGGGTTTTATATTTGGGAGTTGATGGATTGTATACAATGTACAGAGAAAGGTCTGAGGTTTCTGGATAAGACTGATGAGGTTTGACCTAGGAACGATGGTACAGTCAAAACCATTGTGTTGAACTTAAAGTTGTGCATGTTGTAGGTAAAAGCTTTGACCCTGCATATTCCATATATATTTGTCATCCCCTCGCGTTGAGTTGAACCTCAGATAACTCAACTGTGACATGACAGTGTTTGATACACTGACAACTAGTCTCTGAAATGAACATATTTTACAGAAATAAAAGTTCACAGTAAAAAAAATAACATATAATGAAAAGGAGCCCTGAAGCTTTCGTCATGAAGCTGTGGAAATCTAGACTTGCCACATTTTCTAGACTTGCGTGGGCTTTCTATTATATATTTACTTGTATGACTAAACATCCATTCACATTTCATGCCACAGAGACTCATAACATTGTTGGGTTCAACTTGGATACATGTCTCAGCTGATGGGTTGCCGTTGTACAAAGGCTAAACTGTTATTTTACTTTATTTATGGATTTTTTTAGAGGAAGTACTGTACTGGAGGTAACAACATTTAGAATTCTGTAAAAGCAATTCAAATAATGTTCCGTTTTACTCATAGCTACAAGTAGGCTGGTATGAAAAGAGAGATTTTTATATGTTTACTAAAATCTTGTTTTCTCATTCAATATTGATACAAAATATTTGTAGTGGGTCCTTGTGTAGAAATTTATTTTGGTTTTTGGTGCTATGTAGACTGTATGTTAATCAGCATGATACCAAAAAAGAGCCATATTCAGAATTAATGTTTTCACATATCAGGTAGACAGAGCTTTGGCCTGACATAGGTTGTGCAATACAGTGCTGGTAACTGTTCATATGTACACTGTAGACATAGTGCACTGACATGGACGGGAGGAAACTGCCTGGCACTTGTCAGCAGTAACAATAGATTTACGAGAATAGCAGTATACTGCAGTATGCATTTTAAACAATATGCAATATTTTTGGCTACATTCTGGCATACAGGGACTCATTAATATCAATATAATGTAAACTTTTTTATTTAACTAATATTTACTCAAAACGTCATTCACAAATCATGTTTCCCTAAAAAAAGTTGAATCATGAAATATCAAAACGTGATTTTTCGCTCAAGTTATCTCCCTTGTATCCATGACAACAAAACAGCAAGAACTGACCATCCTCAGTTGACTTCATTGCAAACAAGAGGGGGAAAATCTAATGGTAACACCTTGTATAAAAATGTCAGAATTAGCTAGCAGTTTATCACTATATGAACTCAATATAGATGACTGTTTTGCAATATTTTGCAGTACAGTTTGTTTGCTAAAACAGAGCCCAATTTAGCAAAGTGTCCTGGCTCAAGTTATCAGGAATATAGGAATCTTTGAAGAGATACAGAAGTTGATTGCCACAGTAACAAGATCTTTTATGATTGGTGGATCTTAGTGTCAGAGATGCGTACACAGCAATGTAGACTGGAGCAGTCGTTTCTAATTTGAATTTTAAGACAGACGATAGAAAAAAGGAGAGATTTATTTTGGCTTTTTAAATGAATACTAAAGTACTGTGTACTTGTTTGAGATGTGTTATTATAAAATGGTAGCTCTTTTGTGTAGAAGGCATGGTAACCATGGATATGAGATTTGGTGAAACAGAGGATGGCATGATGTGCATGCAACTTCTCATGTGGATTTGTCACCAAAGATCAAGCTTTTCGACAGTGACAGCAATTTCAGAGTTTCACATGTTGTGTGCATCTGTACGGGCTGCACGTGCAGTAACACATTGCAAGGCCATACGCCACTGTCAATGACGTCACGTCGCCTGGCACGTGCATGAGCGTTTGATTGTCTCCAATACTTGCTATGTTCACAAATGTATTTATGTATAAATACGCTGTGTGCCTATTACATTTATATTTTCTGTGTGCACAGTTTCTTTATGTGGCCAGTATATTTAGTACAAAACAAACTGATAGGATGATAGTATTGATTGAGTATCAAGTAATTTTGCTGCACATGCTTTTCCTGTTTTGTCACCACCTGGTGATAATTGTGAGTTTATGTGAACGGACAAGGTGCGATAAGAGTCATTCTGGGCCAATAGGATATGCTTTGTTTCAGGAATAAGGAAAAACTTAACAAATCATTATGAATGTTATCAGATGTTGGGGCTGGCTTAAAATATCAGTAATCGGATATACTGTCAATGGGCAGAATTATTAAAGATTATTAATATAAAAATTGTGTCATCGATAATAATGTATGTAATCTATTGTGAAATATTGTTTTAGTTTAGGCCAGACCAATTTTATTTCTTGTTTTATGGATTTTTGTCCTCAGAAAACCTAAAGGCAGGAGGGAAAAAAAATTAAAATAAAAATAAATAAATACTAAAAGTATTTTACTTTTGGCAATTTATGAAGTGTATATGGGGCAAAACACAATCTTAAAAAAAACCTTTTGTGTAAATTTACGGTTTTCACCAATAAAACCCACAAAACATTAGGATTTTACTTTTTGAGCTGGGAAAATTAGCTTTTATTTTTTTTCTTATTCTTGAAAAACTATGACCGGCGGATCCGTAAAACAAGAAATGAAATTGGTCTGGCTTTACTCACACAAAACACTGATTTAGGACTTTATTCGTGGGTGCCTCTAAATTATATTCAGGCCTGCAGCTGTGTTTTGTTAGTTATCCATTCATAAATATGTCACCACTAACCAGTGATGTAAAATATGTCGACATTCTTTCAAACCTTTTTAGGGTTTTTGCTCAAAGTTACTTCTCTGACATTTACAATAATTGATCAATATTTAGTTAAATATTATTAATCTCTGTGATCTGTATCAATAGCCAGCCCTATCATATGTGTTTATATATGTTTAGAAATTAGGCAAGAACGAGACGTTTCTAGGATTTCTAGGATGATGCAAGAGAGTCCCTGCCTACATCGCGTGAGACTTGTTGCCCCGATAGTTCCAGTGTTGGAGGGGCGGTGGGGTAGCCTAGTGGTTAAAGCGTTGGCTCGTCACGCCGAAGACCCAGGTTCAAATCCCCACATGGGTACAATGTGTAAAGCCCATTTCTGGTATCCCCCGCCGTGATATTCCTGGAATATTACTCTAAGCGGCGTAAAACCAAACTCAGTCAGTCAGTGCAGTGTTGGAAACATAACAGAAACAGCATTGATATTTTAAAAAATATGTGTAATCTTGTAACTTATCTTTTGTCAGATTATTCACTATAGTTCTTTCAGAACATCTACAGTCAATATATTCTATGTAACCTGATACTTACGAAGACACAGTTGACCTATAAATTACAACTTTTTCTTTCCATGACCCGTGAAGGTCCGGGTTAGAACATTGGCCTTCAGTAACCCATGCTTGTCGTAAGAGGCGACTAACGGGATCGGGTGGTCAGGCTGGCTGACTTGGTTGACATACGTCATCGGTTCCCAATTGCGCAGATCGATGCTCATGCTGTTGATCACTGGATTGTCTGGTCCAGACTCGAATATTTACAG